GGTTTGATATAAATAATAGGCAAGGGCTTCGCTTCTGAGAAACACATTGTTCGACAACAGTTCCTATTGATCTCCAACGTTCTACGGCTATGTGTCTCTCGCATAGTATTTATGAAAGGGGAAACAGTAACAAAAACTTTAGATCTTTCTCTATGGAAATATTTTTTCGAAAAGTTCCCTAACACAGGTAACCATGGGTAGATTTCAATACGTGCACATCTCTTGGAATGGGGTTGATAAAGTTTTTGAACAAATTAAACGAACAATATATTATAAATGTTTCGCAATATAAATTGTATATATTTATTTATTTATTTATACGGGATTAACTTATTAGAAAAATTGCAAGAAAATTATTATAGTGAGATATAAAATTAATGGTAACAAATAGAAATAAAAATATACAAATATACAAAGAAGGAAAAAGAATTTTTTATAGGAAGGTGTGATGTAGTAGCTGTTTTATAGAGTGAGAAGATTGGCTGAATAGATTTAGGGTAGGATAAGTGTTGTTAACATTAATAATCATTCAATTAATACCTGAGTGGCATGCAAAAGCAGTTTTATGTTGTATATGAAGAAAGTTGTATCGTTTTAAATGAAACATTAAATGGAACATTGATTGAGAATTTTTCTATTATATCAGAACAATTTATAAGACCATCGAGCACTTTATAAATAAAAAGAAAACCAGAGATATCTCTCCTTTCTAACGTTATTAAATTGAACGATGAGAGTATGAATTCATACTTATGACAGGTAACTGACTTAGGTTGTCCAATACATCGTGAAGCTAAACAAGTGAATGGATTGGATTGCTTTGGTTTCACACTTGAATATTTGGATTAATTTTTCAATGCTGGATAATTGACCTTATGAATGGTTAGTATCGATGTGTGATCATCGACCAGAGTGCCACACGTGAGATAATGGTGAAATCTATCCTTCATGGTTCCCATTTAATTTATTGTATTACTATTCTACTACTCACTATTTCGTTTCTTTTTTTAAAAAGAGTGATTTCTATTTTTAATGAAAACGATACCGATATATCTTTATCGAGTTACGTGTCAAGTTTGTCTCTCGTATGGAAAGTTACACGTTGCGCACGAGTACAAACAAATTCCCCATTCGCTGTAAACAGTGAAATAAGGGCATTGGTACTCGTCGAACGAAATCGCGAGGATAGCCTAATATATCTTATTCCGGTTTCAACGTCGCACAGGGCAGTACAACGTAATAAACGAGAACGTCTAGTTCTTGGTCGGGTGAAAAGTGGAGCACACGAGAAACACGGCGTGACGAAGCGACAAAGCGGCTAATTGATCGATCCCCGACGCGATTCACCCGTGCACCATCTTCGAGAGTGACCTCACGATCGGCGCTGGTATTACCTCTGTTCGAAGATTAATATTGGTCCCTGTGGTTGAGGCCAATTGTACGCCGGAAGTTGGCTGTATTGACCAATCGCTTTAAATGTATTGCGGTCACCGTCGTCCAGCTTCGAGAAAATGCGTTGTTAATACCGTCCCGAATTAATCGCTCTCCCAGAATGATACCAGCGAGGTAACAGTAGCCCACGGTTTACGAAATAAACAACGTCAGGATGAAACACGAGATTGTAAATATACGATGTATCAATTAACGCGAACGAGTTACGTGACAGACGGTGTAGAAGTTGGGCCAGGCTTGCGAATGGGATATAGAATCGCAGTTGAACGTTCACCTGTTTCCGACAGATCCTATTATTGCTACCAAATTCATTGCTGGATGTTGCTTTTTATCTGTACCAACGACTATGAAAGTGACCTAAGTTGCGAAAGTTTCGTTTCGAGGTATTGGAAATTTCGCGTTGGGGAAATGGAAAAATTAATTTCGACGCGAGTACCGACTCCATCCGACTGTTCTACTTTTTGAGCTTTTCGAGGAGTAATTTCGCATTATTTTCGAGTCGTTGGATATACATAAAAATGCGTGTAAATGTGTGAAAAATTTAGTCGTTTCGGATTCATGACTCACTTTCATAATTATCAACAGGTTTTATCGGTGTGTTTTGATTTCGCTTGGAATATGGACAGTTTGGTACACGAAGTGGGGAGTAGAGAAAATTGAGACACGAACGGGATTTTGTTACCGGAAATCGGTTATTGTGCTCTACACGTTAACGAGTAACGCGTGACAATCTTTCGGGGGGATGTTTCGCCGGAATTGAATAGAAATTTGCGAAATTAGGTGCATGTTCCTCACGCATGATCGATTAAAGCGACACCGTATGCTGAATTTCGTAGCTTCTGCGGAACGTTTAATAGATCGAGGGTGTACAAGGTTTCTAAAAGTGAATCTGTGACCTGGCACGATATTACGTAGCTACGCGTTAATATCGGTTCTGGCTTATGAACTTAATTATGTGTCGTAAGCTCGTAAACATGTGGTTGCTCGTTAAATAACGTGCATAGAAAATAATGCCGCGATGCAATTAAAGCAGCATTCATAGTAACGAAGGCGATTAACGATTATTACTATGTTACTAGTAGCTCTGAGCAATTCGTAATGGCGTGTCCTGGAGGTAATCATAACGCAGCTTGCTGCCGATCAATAATTCACTCGAGTTTCCATATCTGAGTAATCTGACCATTGTCAATCGCCTAGAAGATATCCCATTTCTTAGATCTGTGAAACTAATTATCAGTATCTTTCATCGAAATTAATAATTACAGAAAAATATTGAATATTTGATCGAATGTCACATTGACTAACAAATAACACCGAATTTTTGCAGTGGAAAATAATTTCTTCCTTTTTCATAAAGCACCGAATATAACGACGTGTCAATTAAAATCATGCAATTATTCTTAAGATAGTAGAGATCGTTATGTGTCAGAATACGCTGAAATTTCATTTCGTTTTATAGAAACATACCGATATTATATTTCAACGAGCCCTATGCATTAAAGGGAATTAATCGATTCATTTGAGTTTCCATATCTGAGTAATCTGACCATTGTCAATCGCCTAGAAGATATCCCATTCCTTAGATCTGTGAAACTAATTATCAGTAGCCTTCATCGAAATTGATAATTAGAGAAAAATATTGAATATTTGATCGAATGTCACGTTGACTAACAAATAACACCGAATTTTTGAATTGGAAAATATTTTCGTCTTCTTCCATAAATCAATATCTATAAAGCACCGAATATAACAACGAGTCAATTGGAATCGTGCAATTATTCTTAAGTAAAGCGTTATATGTCAGAATGCACTGAAATTTCTTTGACTAACAGATAACACCGAATTTTTGCAGTAGAAAATATTTTCTTCCTTTTTCATAAAGCAATATTCATAAAGCACCGAATATAACAATCTGTCAATTAGAATCATAGAATTATTCTTAAGATAGTAAAGCGTTATATGTCAGAATGCCCTGAAATTTCTTTTCGTTTTAAAGAAAAATGTCGATATTATATTTCAACCAGCCCGATGCATTAAATAATAAAGGGAATTAATGGAATAATTAATTTCGAGGAAATGATTTATTTTCAGGGAAGCTTTTGTAATCCAGTCACGTTGGCATATAGAACATCGCGCCAACAACTAGGCAAACCGATCGATTAGTTAATCTATTGACACAATCCAGGATTCTGTCGTAATTCTATATTGATGCCGCGTAAGATCAATTACGAAAACATGCTTACATAATCAATACTTCCGATTTACATAAACCGGCAACACACCGGGACTCTGTTACCCCTTTAAATATGCTAAGAAATTTGGCGAAGGCATCGGCACGTAAACGTGTATGCAAAACATTATTGACTTTACGTGGAGGAGAGGATTTATGAATGTATTCGTAACACGTAGTCCTTTCTGGGTCGAGTGAAAGAGAGTTGACATGCAGGAACCATTGAATCTTTTTTATCGAGTTCGCTTAAATTTCTGGCGGAAGAGTGGAAATGGCGAGAACAGGGGGCGGCAATATATTTTCGCTGGAGAAGCGACATCTTTTCGCTGACTACATTGTAAAGTTGAAAAACAAAGGTTCGATGCCTCAAATTGACGTTTTCGAATTTATAGTCGGTATCAGCGTTCCGGATGAAATACTTTTTCAACTTCGATTACCCTTTTTCCCTGCATCCTTCTCTCTGCCTCGATTGCCTCGCCGTTTTCAATTCCACGCGAATATTTGACGACACGCAGCACTCTCACCGAATCAATTTTTAATTTATGTACGACACAAGGGAATTTCGAGTATTAACTTCTTCGAAATAAACGTGCAATTTGTTCGAATAAAATTCTGTACACTTTCTCACTTGATCCAACAAGCAAAGATGTGACAAATGATAATGGTACTTCTGTAAAAAGCATCTATCCAGTGGAGACTACTTTATTGTATAAACGAAGTATTCATAGAATTTCCTCGGTGTCAAAGTCAGACACAATGCGACGAAGTTTGAATTAAGGTTTGTACTAAAGAAAGGAATTCTTATTTGGGTGCAACTCGAGTGACGAGAGATAAAGAATCGTCTTTCCTTTTTCCAAGAAATATTCCGAGACACTTCTTTTATTAATTCGTGCAAAAATTAATTTATCGTGACTGATTAGGTATTATGAAAGAAACCAAATTATATACGAAAATGCTATAATCAACATTAGGTACTAAAAAGAATTATCATTTTATCGCAAAATCAGGGAATAAATTTCTAAATTTAAATTTAAAAATTATTAATTTCGAATTTATTATATCGCAATAAATTTTAAATTTTCATATTTCTCCGAGCAAGAAAATATCGCGAAATCCTTCCTCGTAAGATTCAACTTTAATCTTCTTACAGACATGTCAAGATTGGTACATTTCGAGTGATATTTAAAGATACGAGGAAGAACGATACGAGCATCGAGAAAGAAATTGTAATGTCCAGAATACTGCTGGTTACAAGCATACACGATATAAAACAGATTGTTCCATGAATATTAAACAGATGAAGGCAGCGTTAAATTACCTGTTATACATGAGAACGTCAGGCTTCCAAAGTCTGTGCGGTGGGATCCTGAGGTCTCTCACTCCCCCGTAATCCGACGTATTCCATCTCATGTTCACGTCATTCCATTCCTGTAATTGAAAAAACTTATTAAAAGGGATCCCTTACAAATTTTCAATCGCGCAAAATCGTTCATTTCGCGGAATTCGCGGCCCAATTTCTTATAAAATGCCATTATTTTATCACATTATTACTCCGAATTAAATACGTACTATTTCACAAGTTTGAAGGAATAGAAATTCTTCCAATTTTTATTTCTATACATTTTATACGTATTATATTTAAAGAGCTCTTATCCACCTAAATCGTTAAATACATTAATAATCGAGGATACGAGGACTACGATGATAGTTAACGAATAACAAAGAAACAATTAATAAATAATCTCTTTCGGTCTGTCCATAAATTTCGACCCAACTTTCCTTCCACTTTTTAAACCATTATTAATCAACCCTTGCACGAGCTGAATTTGATCGTTTTTCAGATTTTTTACACGTGAAAGAAAAAGTACAGGAGCGCAAGGAGTGTTGGGTAAAATGCATTTTAAAAATGCAGGCTCTTGCAACTTTGTTAAACAGGCCAATAGCTTGCACCCTGCGCGTACAGCACGCACTGTCGATTTCATGGCGCTAATATCTCTTCACAGGCGAGTTTTCGTGGAAATTTTCCAGACTTTTGCGCGGAGTTTGCGCAACTTTGCGAAAAATACGAGGCGATTTGGCAAGTTGCGAAGTTTTGGCGGGATTCTTCACTTTGCCATTTCGACCTCTTCTGACCAAGACAAGTAAAGATGCGAACAGGGCTAGGCGATACACCATCCCATGCATTACGCTATTGATCCCTTGGAAAGTTGTAACGAACAAAAAGTCTGCAACTTAAGCGAAATAATGTTTGTCGCTGACACGTTTACGTTAAATATACAGCCTTCTAAATTCTTGCTTC